AATATAAGTTTTTATACTTTTATATACTTAGGTATTTGTTTTGTTTTTATAGTTTATATTATAAGTTCGTTGTTTATATAAGTCATATTTATAAGTTCTTATGTTTATTTGAATATGTTTTATTATAAGTTTTATACGTATTATCATATGTGTAGTAGTTAGTTTTATTTTTATTTCGTGACAATGTGTTTGCATGTTTAATTGATTTCAAAAGTACAAACTTTCTCCGTGGGATCGACCCTTACTTGCCCTAGCTATAGTTTTTATTTGATTATATTGGGGGTTAGCTAAGGATATTTTATAAATTTTTAATTTGTTTTGGATCGCACGACAAGTCCTCAACAAATTTTGGCGCCGTTGCTGGGGAAAGTATTGTAAAGAATCAATTTAGTATGCCTTTGTGTCATGTATTATTTGCTTGTAAGAAAGCATGAGTTGATGAAGTAGCATGATAAATTTTTACTCTTTTCTACTATTTTGCATGATATATTTTTAGAAATGAGGTTCTTTGCACTTATCAAAACTGAAATTAGCAATTGTTTTTGCAGGTTAAGTTCATAAAGACCTCGCTGCATTCTATCCAGTGCATAATGTCCTCGTACAACAAGGCCGTTTAGAAGATATAGAAATTTATTTTCCAACTTTGTTTATTTTGTAATGTTCTAAATAAATTATAAATTCAGAATATTATTTATTTTTTATGTCTGTGGCCGTTCATCTTCCCCGTCTGTTGTAATTCGTACGAGTATTGTAACATCCATTGCCCCGAAAAAAGCATTTAATGCTTTATCATTGCATTCGGTAGTACAAGTTTCATATTTTGTGTATTTCTCGAATGGTTTTGTCACTTAGCTGTTTGCATTCCTTTAGCATTTGCCTCAATAAGTTCACTCGAGTCAGTTTCAATACTTCTCTAAACCATCCCGCCTTGAGATTTTAGGAAAGCTCTCATGCAACCTTTGTAGAAGTTGTAGTTTTGCCCAAGAAGCAGTGGTGGACGTTGAAAGTTGGCACCTTCTTCCATATCCCTCATGTTTAAGATTGACTTAAGCTTGGGTGGCTCTGTTGGGCAGACCACTCCGATCAACATTCCTTTCGGATCGAGTGCGACCATGGGGTCCACTCCGATCACCACCTTTGTTGGATCGAGCGCGACTATGGGGTCCACTCCAGTCACCTCGGTTATTGGACCAACCGCGGCTACGGGCGCAATGGTCACCCCACTCGGATCGAATATGGCTTCGGCCATACCGGTCATTCCCTCACTTGGACCGAACACGGGTGTCTTCACATCCACGGTGTTTTTGTTTTTGCACGTTAAGTTCATAAAGACATCGCTGCATTCTGTCCAGTGCTTAATGTCCTCGTACAATAAGGCCGTTTGAAGATATAGAAATTTATTTTCCAACTTTTTTTATTTTGTAATATTCTGAATAAATTATAAATTCAGAATTTTATTTATTTTTTATGTCTGGGCCGTTCATCTTCCCCGTCCGTTGTAATCCGTACGAGTATTGTAACATCCATTGCCCCGAAAAAAGCATTTAATGCTTTATCATTGCATTCGGTAGTACAAGTTTCATTTTTTGTGTATTTTTCGAATGGTTTGTCACTTAGCTCTTTGCATTCCTTTAGCATTTCCCTCAATAAGTTCACTCGAGTCAGTTTCAATACTTCTCTAAACTCTCCCGCCTTGAGATTTTAGGAAAGCTGTCATGCAACCTTTGTAGAAGTTGTAGTTTTGCCCAACAAGCAGTGGTGGACGTTGAAAGTTGGCACCTTCTTCCATATCGCTCATGTTTAAGATTGACTTAAGCTTGGGTGGCTCTGTTGGGCAGACCACTCTGATCAACATTCCTTTCGGATCGAGTGCGGCCATGGGGTCCACTCCGATCACCACTTTCGTTGGATCGAGCGCGACTATGGGGTCCACTCCGGTCACCTCGGTTATTGGACCAACTATGGCTACGGCTGCAATGGTCACCCCACTCGGACCGAATATGGCTTCAGCCATACCGGTCATTCCCTCACTTGGACTGAACACGGGTGTCTTCACATCCGCACCGGTCAGACATCCTACTGTCATGCTACCTGCGAACTCTGTCAAAGAACTGGCAAAGTTCACAGGTGTTGGCTTTAAAATATGGCAGCAAAGGATGTTATTTTGGCTGACCACCCTCAACCTTGCGAGGTATTTGAGGGAGGATCCCCGTGTTGTGTGGGAGAATGCGGACGAGCCAGCAGTTCAGGCTAAAGAGGCATGGATAGCGAATAACTTTGTGTGCCTTAACCTTATCCTGAATTGCCTGAGCAATGCCTTATATGTTGTTTATAGCAAGGCTGCATCCGCAAAGGAGTTATGGACTACACTGTCCAACAAATACCAGGCCGAGGACGCCAGTGCGAAGAAATTCGTTGTCGGTAAGGTCTTGGATTTTAAGATGGTGGATTCCAAACCCGTGGTCAGTCAAGCTGAAGAATTGATTCTCATTTTTAATGAGTGCACTGACGAGGGAAAGGGAGTCAGTGACGCATTCCAAGTGGCGGCGATTATTCATGTGCTCCCACTGGCTTGGGATGAGTTCCGGAGCTATCTCAAGCTCAAACGGAAAGAAATGACTTTAGAACAGTTGCTTGCTCGTCTCCGGATCCGTGAAGAGGGTCTCACTCGCGAGAAGAAAGTAGTTGTTTCTAAGGCCAATGTGGTGGAGCATCCACCCAAAGAGGGTTCTTCCAAAGGGCCCAAGCCAAATAAGGACAAGAAGAAAATTTGTCCTAAAGGAGGCGTCGCGAAGACCAAGTTCGTGGGGAAAAGCTACAACTGTGGCATTACGGGCCACTGTTCTTCAGAGTGCCGCAAGAAGCCTCAGAAGAAGAAGCAGAATAAGGAAGAAGCTTTCTGCTCGGAGCTAGATGCTATGGACCTTTGTGCTGTCGTGACAGAGGTCAACCTGGTCGGGTCTAACCCGAAAGAGTGGTGGGTTGACACCGGAGCCATTCGTCATATCTGCTCCAATCGGGCCATGCTCTTTGACTTTAAGGAGACTTCCGGCGACAAGGTGTGGATGGGCAACTCCGCCCAATCCGGAAAGGAGCTCACGCTGAATGATGTGTTGTATGTGCCGGACATACGGAAAAACTTGGTGTCAGGCTCACTATTGAACAAACATAGATTCCGCATGGTGTTCGAGTCTGATAAGCTGATCTTGAGCAGAAAGGGAATATTCATAGGCAAAGGTTATATTTCTGATGGGCTTTTTAAGCTTAATGTACTCACTGTCGTTGAGAAAGATAATAAAACTCATGTTGCCTATGTTTGTGAGTCTTCTAATGTGTGGCATGGCAGACTAGGACATATTAATTATGCATCCCTTCGGAAATTAATTAACATGGAATATATCCCTAAGTTTGACATCGACCTGTCCCACAAATGTGAGACGTGTGTCGAAGCAAAGTCAACACGAAGTTCGTTTCAAACGATTGAACGAACCACTCAGCCACTAGATTTAACTCACACGGATCTGTGTGATTTCAAAGCAACGCCTTCAAGAGGTGGTAACAAATATGTTTTCACTTTTGTCGATGATATCACAAAGTACTGCTATATTTATTTACTTAAAAGTAAAGATGAGGCGTTGGACACTTTCATTCGGTATAAGAATGAAGTAGAAAATCAACTCAATCGCAAAATAAAAGCGATTAGGAGTGATAGGGGCAGGGAGTACGAAGCTCCATTCGCCGAATTATGTGCACAACAAGGAATTGTGCATCAGGTAACTCCGCCATACACACCCCAATCAAACGGTGTGGCGGAACGGAAAAATCGCACTCTCAAAGATATGATGAATGCGATGTTGCTTAGTTCGAGGCTACCCCAAAATATGTGGGGGGGAGGCTATTTTATCTAGCAATTATTTGTTAAATAAAATACCCCGAAAGAAACTCGATAAGACTCCTTACGAGTTGTGGTATAATAGGAAACCTTCCTATAAATACCTAAAAGTGTGGGGGTGCCTTGCAAAAGTTTTAGCACCACCACCAAAGAAAATAAAGATTGGTCCAAAGACTGTTGATGGAATCTTTATTGGCTACAGTGATAACGCGTATCGATTCTTAGTGTATAGGTCTGATAATCCAGAAATACATAAGAACACGATAATGGAATCGAGGAATGCAACATTCTTCGAAAATATATTTCCGTTAAAGTTGAGGGAAGAAGCAAGTTCGTCCAAAGCAAGTTCGTCCAAACGTTCACATGATGAAATGTTGAATGATGGTTCCTCGGATCAGTCTAATATCGGTATAATTGATGAAACCGAAATTGAGACTGAACTAAGACGAAGTAAAAGGACACGGACTAAGAAGTCCTTTGGTAATGATTTTCTAACTTATTTGTTGGAATTTGAATCGGGGACCCTATCATTTCTGATAGAGACTGAACCCGATATTCTAACATGTTTATTAGAAAATGAACCACGAACTTATCGTGAAGCAGTGACTTCGTCTGAAGGGCCTCAGTGAAAAGAGGCAATTAAAAGTGAAGTTGATTCTATAATGCAGAATCACACTTGGGAGTTAGTGAATCTACCTCCTGGATGCAAACCGTTAGGTTCTAAGTGGATCTTTCGGAGGAAAATGAAACTAGATGGTTCCATTGATAAGTACAAAGCCAGACTTGTAATTAAGGGTTACAATCAACGTGAAGGCTTTGATTATTTTGATACATATGCTCCTGTGTCAAGGATAAATTCCATTAGGATGATACTTGCAATAGCTTCCTTGCGGAACTTAGAAGTTCATCAAATGGATGTAAAAACAACTTTCCTTAATGGAGATCTAGAAGAAGATATCTACATGGAACAACCAGAAGGGTTTATAGTTCCTGGTCAAGAAAGGAAAGTATGTAAACTCGTTAAGTCACTATATGGTCTTAAACAGGCGCCAAAAGTATGGCATGAGAAGTTTGACCAGGTAATGATGAACTCTGGGTTCAAAATTAATGAATCAGACAAGTGTGTTTATCTAAAAAACACATCCCAAGGGTATGTCATGTTGTGTCTATATGTAGACGACATACTCATAGTTGGTAGCGATGACAAGATGGTCAAGTCTACCAAAGACATGTTAAACTCGCGATTTGACATGAAAGATATGGGTCTGGCTGAAGTAATTCTTGGAATTAAAATTGTGAGAAGACCTGGGGGTCTAGCACTGAGCCAATCCCATTATATTGATAAAATCCTTGACAAGTTCAACAAGGATGACGTTAGAGTAGCAAAGACGCCGTTGGACGTCAA